ATATTTTTGTTCTTTACTCATTTTCCCGTTGAACGTCAGTCACGAATTTTATTATCAGAACGCTCTGGTGTACAAGTCGGAGGAGATGTCGTTGGTCATCATTCACGTGGCAGACCACTAATATCTAAAAAAAAAACTTAAACCTCTGATTGATCACTTGTATTTACATGCAGTAGCATTAACACTACTTCAAATAAGTTGAAACCTTAAGTATTATGACATTTACACAATCTATATATGATTACCTTATTAATACTTTTTAACATTTTTAGTCATGTAAAAACTGTTTGCGTTAAATTTATAGGAAAGAAAGAACGACAATGTATAAATGAGGAACCAATAAATAACTTAATGCAATGTGAAGATTGTAAAGTTTGGGTATGGTTATTAACTTATTAGAAAGCAAAGAGAAAGATATTGGTAACAAACGTCATTTGTTCTCATTTTGTTGGAAACAAGATCTAAATTGGTTTTTTCTTCGTAATATATTTTTCGTAAATCTGATTTGGATTCAATAAGAATTGATAATAACTAGGTTTTAAAATCTATCAAAGATAATTATAGGTTTACGTTTCTGTGTCGAAAATAAATTGTATATGTGGTTGTGTTGATAACAATTTTTTTTATAAAGCTATAGTTAGATGTTGTCGTGGGGGTTCGAATTCTAGTATTGTGAACATAAATTTAGAAAAAAAAGTAAAATAAGATAATAAAGCGAAAAAAGAGAAGGAGCGTGGAGGGGAGAGGGGAGAGGGGAGAGGCAAACACATGGGAAGGAAGAGAGACAACGAATAAGACTCACGCCGACGACGAGTCAACACGCGCGGGTCAACTCGTCTCATATAATTTATTTTTTAGTTAATTGAGACTCATCACTCTCCTTCTTTCTCGCTCCATCCATTTCTCTCTTTCTTTTCCAAATTTAGTCCACAAATATATATATCCGCCACGATTAATAATCAATCAATAATCCTTCTTCTTCTCCTTTTTGTGTGTGTGTCGGTGGTCTCTTTTCCTCAAGATCCAGGTACGCTCTTTCGATTCCTGTGCTGCTCCTTTGATTTGCATTTCGATGGTTTTGCTTCATCGCGATTCTGATATTGATTCGATTAACGCAGATCCAACGACAAATATGACTATGAGCAACGGCAATGGTATCTCTTCCGAGAAGAAACCTTTCAGGATCTTCGTTGGTTACGATCCACGCGAGGATCTTGCTTTCCAAGTCTGTCGCCATTCCATCACCAAGAGGTCTTCGATCCCGGTCGAGATCACACCGATCGTTCAATCGGATCTCAGGAAGAAAGGTCTGTATTGGAGAGAGCGAGGGCAGCTCGAGAGCACTGAGTTCTCTTTCTCTCGTTTCCTCACTCCACACTTGTCCGATTACCAAGGTTGGGCCATGTTCGTCGACTGTGATTTCCTCTACCTTGCCGACATCAAGGAGCTCACCGATCTCATCGATGACAAATACGCAATCATGTGCGTTCAACACGATTACACCCCCAAAGAGACCACCAAGATGGACGGTGCCGTCCAGACTGTGTACCCGAGGAAGAACTGGTCCTCCATGGTGCTTTACAACTGTGGACACCCCAAGAACAAGACCTTGAGCCCCGAGACCGTTAACACTCAGACCGGTGCTTTCCTCCATAGGTTCCAGTGGCTACAAGACCAAGAGATTGGGTCCATTCCCTTTGTGTGGAACTTCCTTGAAGGGCACAACAGGGTCGTTGAGAACGATCCCACCACGCACCCTAAGGCCGTGCATTATACTCGTGGAGGGCCCTGGTTCGATGCTTGGAAGAATTGCGACTTTGCCGATCTCTGGCTCAATGAGATGGAAGAGTACAACAAGAGAGAAGCCCATGTGGCCAGTTAGATACAAGGAAGAAAAGGTATGTTACTTACCACCAAGTAGTGTGCTTCTTCGTTGAGATTTCGATACACGGATTTATTCCATTAAGGTTTTGGCTTTGTAGAGCCAGGGATGATCATTAAGTCTTGTGGAGGGCTTTGGATTTTCATTTTTTTTTCTCATTGATTCGTTAAATCATTAAGAGATGATACGGTATAATAACCTATTCGTTTGTTTCTTGTCCTTGTACCTTTGATTGAATGATATTTTATTTGTAATTCCTCTTAGATGAAGTAACTTATTTGATATGTCACCTTATGTAGCAGTTTGTTTTTGTAACTGATTGATAATATGACCATTGACTAGCTCAACATACATATTTAAAACATAGATTGATCAAATACTGATCATTAGCAAGCAACCTCTCGGATGATCCTATATCTGAGACTTATCATATTCTTGTCCTTGGGGTTCATATTGCCAACCTAACGAGCATAAATCCCCCCTGATTCGTTATTATGTTTTGTGTGAGGCTTCTACCCGTAGTCGAAGCTTCACGGTTAAGCTATTTCTTGGCCGAAAACTTGATCAAAAATTTTCCGCATTTTTACTTTACATTTTCGGTGTTTTATTCAATAAGACAAGCCTATGTCATACATGAAAGTCAATTTAGATTAGATCAGAGACTCAAAGATAAGTTTGCTGATAAAGTTTTACATCGCTTAGTACTAGATTTAACTACCGGATCTAATCATTCTTCCTTCTCTGCTTTTGTCTCATGCACCTCAATCACTTGGACGACTTTCACTAACAAATTATTTACCTGCCTCCAAAAAGAGACAATTTCTATTGGTTAAATTATGCATAT